CTAAATACTTTAGCAACTAAATCGTGTCTGTCAGTACTTTTTTGGCCCGGCATTAGCTCCTCGGTTATTTCTTACCATGTGGGATTGCAAGTAACGGTACAAAAAGATCAGGTCTTCCGTAAGTTCGTACATAGGCGAATGCGTCTTGTGTGTACTCATGTAGGTAGTAGGGACTGTTAACGAATGATGAGGGCAGAATTACCATTTTACCTAAATCTCTGGGGTTTACATTGGCGTCACTAGAAACTGCATCTTGTAAATGTATATAATTCTCAACGCGCAGCTTTTTTTGATTTAAAGATATATAACGGAGACGTTCACTTTCTACCTTCACATACATATCTACCAAATATTGATGAAATAATTGTCTACACCGGGCTAAGAGGTTAAAATCATTTTCTCGCAACATCATATGATACGCATAAAAATCCATACATGATACTTTTTTGTTGGGAGTAAGCTCCTTTGTGACGGGGTAATGAGTGGAATTTGAAAATAATAACCCTCTGGTCCTTTGCAATAAATTAATGGGTATTGCAGAGCGTCATAAAACTTGTGTGTTGTGTGTGTGTATCGGCTACCCGTTGCAACGTATCATTACGTGCTCGCAAGACAATGTCTCGTGAAGAAAATTGATCACCACTAATTACGGCTGCTATTTCGTTTATCAAAGGTGCATTGTAGCACCTTTCATGCTCTCCTGGTAGGTTTTCTAAAGCAGTTTTAAATGTTTTGACTAAAATGTTACGTTCATGTAAGAATCTTTGAATTTTGAACACTGTGTCTCTCTCAACCTCCTGGATAAATTGGCAGCGACGATCTACCTCAATTTCTTCGTCACCCATAAAATATACTAGTAAAAATTTATGCTGTTCGTTTTCAGCTGGAAAAAGTGAACCTATTCTATGATAAATTTGCCCTTGCACCGTAAATGTAGGCGAAAATCCCGGCATTATTATTTCCCGGTCAACTCCGAAGGACGTTATTTGAAAGCATGAGTTATTTTTACGGATCCTGTTTAAAAAACGCCGTGACTCAATAGCATCATATAAAAAGAGAGTTTTCAAAGGTTCTTCTGGCTCCCCAAGTAACGGAAGAGACACTTTGCCATTGGAACAGCACATGCCTGCGGTCTCATCTTTCCATTTTAAAGCGCTGCAAAATCGACACGCCTTGTCCATCAGTCCGATAACAACTAACCTGTGATTTTTATAATCAATCAACGGATCATAATTGAATGCTGCGTCATTAATAACCAACCAATTGTTTCTTTGAAAATTTTGTCGACGTTCAGCTTGGAGCTGTGCATGTGCATCTCTTAGCGCCTGTGTCTGTTCTGGTGTTTCAGATGCCCTTATAGTATATTGACGTTCAGCTTGCTCAATGAGTCTGTGTTGAGTTTCATCAGGTGTTTCCGCGGCTCTTAAGGCGGCCTGACGTTCCGCTTGTTCGAATAGCCTTTGTTGACTTTGAGCAGGTGTTTCAGTAGCTCTTAAAGTAGCTTGACGCTCTGCCTGTTCAAGACGCCTTTGCTGACTTTGATCAGGTGTTTCGGAAGCTCTTAAAGCAGCCTGACGCTTTGCTTGTTCTTGCCTTCTCAGTTCAGCATCTTCTAAAGAGTCTAGCGATCGAGCTAATCTTTTCGCTTGTCTTTGAGAAGATACTCTTGAAAGGCTGGATTTACGTTTGCGAGGCATTATGAAGTAACAAAAAACCTATTTATAAAAAATCGTTATAATACCTAAAAGGAATAAATTTCCTTTTAAATGTTTTTTTTAAAAGCAAATCCAAAATATCTAAAAGGAATAATGTTCCTTTTAAATATTTTTTAAAATCAAAACAACAAAACTAATTCAAGACACAACACGAATCCGAAAACGATAGCCAAAAAAAATCGAATCAACTTAAACTAAATCACAAAACAAATAGCAGAAAACCGAAATCGAAAGCAGTAGTCAATATAAACATAACCAACGAAAAAAGGAGTAAGTTTATAGGTACCGTATACACTATCTATACTATTAATATTCCCTTGAAATATTGTTAAACAATCTAAAACAACGAAAACCAATTCACGATTCTAAATAAACAAAATCCAAAATCAAAGCCAGAGTCTAAATATGTATAAAGGAATACCAACCAAATCAACAAAACCGATCCAAGAAAATACACAAATCGGAAATGAAAGCCAATATAAATCCATTCAGCCTTAACCAAATCACAAAGCAAATAACAAACAACCGAAATCGAAACCAGGTAATCGAATAAGCTATGAAATAGAAACAATTTAAGCGTATAGGTACCGTATGCACTATAAGTTGACGCGCGGCTCAACGGCGGGAGTTAAGTCCATGTCAGGAAACGTTTTGTTACCGCGTTTTAAAAACCTATTAACGACATCTAGCGGAATCAATTTAAACTATGTATACGTTAGTTAATAAGAACTCTCAAATAATATTTTTCTTATAATTTTGCACAATTTTTCTTATTGTAATACCGATTCATTCATAACCACATATAAGAACTGTATTCATTTCCGTTCAATAAATATTACTATGGCTTATTAATAAGGCTTACTAAGAACTGTTTCTACCACAGTTAAGTAATAGTTAAGGGTGAAAGCGTGACAGGTGGTGATAGTATTTCTGATCCATACTTATAATCACGCCTGTAACCCTTGTGTGGTAGGCAGAGCATCAACGGATTACTTAATATCGTCTGCGAGGTTGTCGCCTATTCTGTGAATTACAATGCACCACAACGTTTGAAGAAAATCAGCTGGTGAATTTTATATTTTTATCGCTCTCTTCCTGGTCCTGCGTGGAAAAATACAGATCCATACATTTTCTATTTTAATTTTGGTAAAAAGACATAATAATCCAGATATTCTGACCTTCTGTGTTCGTCCATCGTACCGTCGTCCGTCTTGTAGAATCAAGGTGGCGCCACCTAGCTGAATTTAATTTTGCAACATATTTGATTTTCCCACGGGAATGATACGTTTTTCCGCTGAAAAAAGTAGCCTATTTCACTATACAGCTACCGAACTATACCCATACAAAAAATCATGCCATGCCGACGCTCTGTTGCGACGTGAAAGAGGGACAAACTTGTGCAACATATTCGATTTTACCACGGGAATGAGATGTTTTTCCGCGGAAAAAAGTAGCCTATTTCACTCTACAGCCACCGAACTATCCCCATACAAAAAATCATGCCATGCCGACGCTCTGTTGCGACGTGAAAGAAGGAAAAACAAACAAACACACTTTCGCATTTATATTAGTATGGAAGTATGGATGTTTATTATTATTACTTTCACATTTAACCTGTAAGCTCCGGGAGGTCCCGACATGTTATACTCACGTTCGCTCGGGACCTTAATGGCGGGAAAATTTGCAAGTTAGCAAAAAATTTGCTAACTTGCAAATTTTGCTATATTTTCACTTTGAGACAATATTTATGGATAAAACTTACAGGAATTCTTGTTGAATGTGTAAACTATCGAATAAAATTATTTTTGATTGCTAGAAATTGTAATAAAATTCATAAATTACCCTTTATAGCATAGTAGTAGTATATACTTCACTTTTAGTGCCAAAATTACTACTAATTTGAATTCTACACTTTGTTTTTGGAGAAATTGATATGAAAATGTTTGGAAATATGTATATTTTTATGTATTATGTGTTTCTATTCGTCAATCATACCTAAATATTAAAAAATAAACAAAAATAAAAAATAATAATAATATTTATCTGTATGACATTTCGAACAATATTACAAAAATATTTTTGTGTGAATTTCAAATAAATACAACGTCAAGTTATTTGAAAAATGTTAGAAAACAATTTTTACTTACATTTTGCACTAAAAATAAATGAGAAGTGGAAAAATAACAAATATCCTAAAATCTGGGGAAATTTCAGATCATAACTAGTGATAATTTTTTTGCAAGGTAGCAGCACTTCAAATTATTAGGTACCAGTGTTACAAACGTACACAATTTTGAGTTTTGAATTGTGCATGATTATGTTGTTTTCTATAGCCCATAGCTATGCAGCTTGATTAGATAATACATAGTAAATTATTTTATTGATATCTGTAATGGTGACTTAAGTAGACGCTTAATAATTCCATCACCTATTATTTCCCCCATTGTCCTTTTTGTGGGCAAAAAACACATATTATACAAGTCCGCGCTGAAAAAACCTCTAAGTAATTTCAATCTCGAGAACATTTCTTCCCCATCGGTTATCGGTTCTTCGAGCTACATGGCCGGCCCATTGCCACTTCAGCTTACTTATCCGTTGGGCTATGTCGGTCACTCTGGTTTTACTGCGGATGTTTTTCTGAGTCTATCACGCAGAGAAACTCCGAGCATAGCCCTCTCCATAGCTCGCTGAGCGACCTTGAACGTCCTCATACGGCCAGCAGTGAAGGACCACGTCTCTGATCCGTAAGTCATCACTGGCAACACGCACTGGTTGTACACTTAAAAATGAAAACTTACTACTTATAAATGATTACTAACTCTAAATAATCGATATCGATTTTTTAAGAATCGAACATTGTACGTTCCCATTTTTTGGTCGTTGGTTGGCATGCTTGGTGCAATAAGTCTGACAGCTGTCAAAATGATTTGGTTGACTTCCTATTGTAATTTGAATACCTAATCAATATAATCAAATACCTATTGAAAAAATAGATTATACAATTTGTATAACATATTTTTAAAATATATTTATTTATTCTTGTACTTAACCATAAAGGATTCGAAGTAATTAAGAAAATCGATTAAAGTTATTTTTATTTCCTAACCTGCCAGGATATTGCTGTTCACGAAGGATTTTACTACTCCTGTTCACTCATCTTGCGAGAAAATGGTATTTTTGAAGGGTCTCTGCTGTATACCTAATAAACATTGGTTTCATTCATGTAAACGTTTATATAGTAATAGAAACATATTAAAACTGAGTGAACGAGGAATGTATCAAGATATGTTCCCAAACACAGCGGCGTAAGCAAGTAATTTAATTTTATTATTGACTGGTGCTCTCCATCTATTGAAAACTTTAATTTACTAATGTTTCAGATCTGATATATTGAATTTATTAAACAAATGTCCACAGTGCGTTTACGCTGGTTTCGATCCCACTGCCAATAGCTTACATGTTGGAAACCTCCTTGTAATCATAAATTTATTACACTGGCAGAGAGGTGGACATAATGTAATTGCACTGGTAATTCAGCTTTTAATTTGTTTTCAATTTCATACCTACACTTAAATAAAATTATCAACATGATATATAATTATTACTTTTTCGTAATTTTACTAGCTTGGTGGAGCTACAGGACATATTGGGGATCCAAGTGGAAGAAATACAGATCGTGTAGCATTATCAAATGATGTTATACAAGAAAATATTCAGTGTATAAAAAGGAACCTTGAAACTGTTTTTGAAAATCATAAAAAATACATTTGGCCTGAAAAAGGAGATAAACTGAAACCTGTTAGGTAATTATATTGTGGTATGTAGAGAATTATAGCTTATAGCAGTTTATTAGCAGCAACTAGTTAAATGCTCTGTAATTTGTATAGTGTTAGAGCAACCTGGGTTCCATCCCCACCAGCACCAATGGAATTGTTAATTGCAATTTAGGTGCTAATTTATCAATTTTTGGTGGTGAAGGAAAACATTGTGAGGAAACCTGCATGTCTGAGAAATTGAAAAAAGTATTTTGAAGATAGGTGAAGTCTGCCAACACACAATGCAGGAGCATGGTAGACATTTTCTTGCCCTTGGACCGTCTGTGGGACAACTGCAGGCTGTAATTTTACTTTACTTTTACATAAATAATCAGTATTTATTAATAACCATGACCATAGTAGGGACCACAAAAAACAGTGGTAGAGCCACGCGGCAGCTTTGCTGTCGCACGTATGGGCCGGCTCAAACCGGGGTGGTACCACGACCTCACAGAATACCGGCGTGAAGTGGAAGCTCTGCTTCCGCGTTTCGTCTGGTGAGTGCAGGTGGCCGGAGGCCCAAATCCCCCCCATCAACATGGTAGCGGAATTCAATGATAGACTACCCCAGGAGGGTACCAGCACCCCTGGAGAATCCCTCGCTGAGCATCCACGACCATGTTTTTCCACTTCTGAGCGTGGGTGCTCAGGCTGCCCCGCGTATTCTGGGGGGGGGGGGCAAAATTCCGCTCAAGACTAAAACTGCTCGGGGCAAACGGAGCAACAAGACCAAGGCGACCCCTGCCACGCTGTCCGTGAATTTCTGCAATATCAGGGGACTTCACTCCAACCTAAACGCCGTCCACTACCATCTCGAGACGGCGAGGCCGGCTCTGCTCTTTCTGACCGAGACGCAGGTGTCCTCTCCGGCTGATGTCTCGTATCTCTCCTACCCGGGGTACAAACTGGAACACTCCTTTGTGCCTTGGGCTGGAGTTTGCGTTTACTTCAGAGAGGACATCTGTTCTCGACGCCTCGGCAGACTTGAAGGTTCAAACCTATCCATCCTTTGGCTACGCGTAGACAGCGACGACCATCCGCGCATCTACGGGTGCCTCTATAGGTCCCACAGCGGTAATGCCGAAACAGACCGACTCTTCGACCACGTCCAAATGGCTGCAGATTCGTTGCTACAGCAGATCCCCTCCGCAGAGATCGTGATCCTCGGCGACTTTAACGCCCATCACGCCGAATGGCTCGGTTCACGTTTAACCGATCATGCGGGGAGATCTGTTCATGATTTTGCCTTGTCATATGGTCTGACACAACTGGTTACTTCGCCTACGCGGACTCCAGATGTGGAGGATCATGCACCTTCCCTGTTGGACCTTCTGCTGACCTCTCACCCGGACGGATATCAGATTTCCGTCGACGCCCCTTTAGGCTCCTCGGACCATTGTCTTGTCCGGAGTGTGGTGCCACTCACGCTGAAATCGCGGTTGCATTCTGCAGGCTGCCGCCGTGTTTGGCACTATAGGTCAGCCGATTGGGATGGGATGCGGTCTTTCTTTGCATCCTACCCTTGGGGGCGGGTTTGCTTCTCGCCGGACGATCCCAACGTTGTTGCGGATTCTGTCGCTGATGTGGTACTTCAGGGTATGGAACTTTTTATTCCTTCCTCTGTGGTGCCCATTGGAGGCAAATCTCAGCCATGGTTTGGTCGCTCCTGTAAAATAGCATCATGCTATAAGCAGGAGTGCTACCAGGCCTGGGCTGACGCATCAGCGTCCAGGGATGTAAACACCAGCGCTCTAAAAAAGAAGTATAATTCCGCCTCTAGGTCCTTCAAAAGAGTCATTGCCAAGGCAAAGTCAGAGCACATAGGCAGAATTGGCGAGAAACTAGTTCGTCTTCCTTCTGGAACCCGTACATTCTGGTCTCTCGCCAAGGCTGTCCAGGGGAATTTCTGTCAGCCATCTCTTCCATCTCTGCACAGGGAGGACGACTCACTGGCCCACACCGCAAAGGAGAAAGCCGATCTTCTAGGCTCTTTCTTTGCGTCTAACTCGACTCTCGATGACGGGGGGAGTACGCCGCCGACCATCCCGCGGTGTGAGTGCTCCATGCCGGAAGTGCAGTTCACTCAGCGCTCGGTTCGCAAAGCACTCCTCTCCCTGGACATCCACAAGTCGAGTGGGCCTGACGGAATCCCCCCAATTGTGCTGAGGACGTGTGCTCCAGAGTTGGCACCGGTTTTAACGCGTTTTTTCCGGTACTCCTACTCCCTAGGCGTAGTCCCAAAATCATGGAAGACGGCTTTCGTCCACCCGATCCCTAAAAAAGGCGACCGCTCAGACCCGTCCAACTACCGGCCTATCGCCATCACCTCCTTGTTCTCCAAAACAATGGAGTCCATTGTAAACTGCCAGCTCATGAGGTACCTTGAGGATCACCAGCTGATTAGTGACCGCCAATACGGTTTTCGCCGTGGTAGGTCAGCTGGTGATCTTCTGGTCTACCTAACTCACAGATGGGCGGAGGCAGTAGAGTCCAAGGGGGAGGCATTGGCCGTTAGTTTGGACATTGCGAAGGCCTTCGATCGGGTTTGGCACAAAGCGCTTCTTTCGAAGCTCCCTTCCTATGGGCTTCCCGAGAAATTGTGCGATTGGATCACCAGTTTTCTTGCAGATCGGAGCATCAAGGTCGTTGTAGACGGTGCAAGCTCCGATTGCAAGCCTATTAATGCTGGTGTTCCACAGGGCTGCGTGCTATCGCCAACGCTGTTTCTTCTGCATATCAATGATATGTTGCAGACCCGTAACATTCATTGCTATGCAGATGACAGCACTGGTGATGCTCTTTACACCGGCCGAGCCAATATTTCTCGGGAAAACGTCTCCGAGTGCCGGGACAAACTTGTGTCTGAAGTCGAGTCTCTGCTGGACAGAGTCTCGGATTGGGGGCGACTAAATCTAGTCCAGTTTAACCCCCAGAAGACACAAGTTTGCGCGTTAACCGCTAAAAAGTACCCCTTTGTCGTATCGCCTCAGTTTCAAGGCACTCCCCTTGTTGCCTCAGCCAGTATCGGAATCCTCGGCGTCGACATATCGAGTGACGTGCAGTTTCGTGGTCACTTGGAAGGGAAGGCCAAATTGGCCTCTAAAAAGCTTGGCGTGCTCAGCAGAGCGGGACAGTATTTCATGCCGGCACACCGCCTGCAACTATACAAGGCGCAGGTTCGGCCGCACATGGAATACTGTTCCCATCTCTGGGCTGGGGCTCCCCAGTACCAGCTCCTTCCACTTGACCACATCCAGCGCAGAGCGGCTCGAATCGTCGACGACCGAGTGCTTTCCGATCGGCTCGATTCTCTGGCACTGCGAAGAGATGTTGCATCCCTTTGCATTTTCTTTCGCATATACCATGGAGAGTGCTCTGAGGAATTGTTCGGATTAATCCCAGCCGCCAAATTTCGTGAACGCACTACGCGGCAAACGTCCCGATACCATCCACACCATCTGGATGCTTGGCGGTCCACCACTGTACGTTTCAAAAGGAGTTTTCTTCCGCGTACAACCTCTCTGTGGAATAATTTACCACCAGCGATTTTTCCGGACCGATACGACCTGGGGACCTTCAAGAAAAGAGCTTACTCCTTTCTAAAGGGCCGGCAACGCGTCTGCAATTCCCCTGGTGTTGCAGTTGATCATGGGCGGCGGTAGTCACTTAACATCAGGTGAGCCACATGCTCGTTTGCCCCCTCTTCTATAAAAAAAAAAAAAAAAAAAAATGTCGTATCTTGGCAACAATCTCAAAACTTGTCAGACCAGTTGTAAAGAAGACCTTTATTACTACCTTTACTACTAAATTGATAAGCTAACAGTCCGCCTGATGGTACTGGGCTACTGCAACTATTTAAACAAAGTAGGCTACAGATGAATGTCCCCACTGAGAACTATATTAGAATGCCCCGCAGCCTGTAATATTGGCTTGTTATACTTGATAGAAATAGTAAAGTAAAAATGTAAACTTACAACCTACATAAGTCCAACTGCTGGGCACAGGCGTCCCCTCATTTCTGAGAGGGTTTTAGGTCAAGGAAGTGTCCACCGCGCTGCCCCAATGTGTGTTGGCGAACTTCACATGTCTTCGAAATATTTGTTTTTCTTATTCCTCATACATGCAGGTTTCCTCATGATGTTTTCTTTCACCGCCGAGCATGTGGTAAATCAGCACTAAAAATTGCAATTAACAATTTCATTGGTGCCAGCGGGGATCGAACTCAGATTACTCGCATTCTGTTGTATTTACAGCGAGCGTTAACCATCTGAGCTACCATGGCTCATTACTGGTTAGCACTCTGGACTCTGATAGAAATAGGTAAAGGATTTTTCAACCCAGATGCACTTATGGCATATGCATGAAACATGATAAATTATCATAAACTTTTGACAGTCATAAGTCACCATTACACAATACAGCACTGCTAGTGTACTAAATTGTGTAAATATGCATATGATATGCTATGCCAAATATGATGGTTTATATTGTAATTTTGATTTTCATCAGCTGATTATATGCAACGCAGTTTACAAACAATATCAGTAGCATTTGGAATATATTGAACTATAAATTGTGCAACTTTGTTAAGATATGCTGTGCATTAGTTACAATTATTATGGAAGTATGCATAATATTGTGGTGTTGTTTTTAGGATTGTCAACAATGAAAGTTGGTATAAAGAAATTAATTCAATACAGTTTGTGAGTGACATTGGACGTAATTTTCGAATGGGAACAATGTTATTGAAGCAAAGTGTCCAAAGTCGGATAAATTCTGAAGTAGGCATGAGCTTTACAGAATTTGCTTATCAGATATTCCAATCATATGATTGGTTACACTTACTGAAAGAATATGATTGTAAGTTCCAGGTAATAATTATTATCAGTAAAGGTAAAATGTTACAATCATCGATTAGTAGATTAGGTTAGGAATCATCGCTTAGTGGATTACGTTAGGCCATTCAGTTTGCTAGCTGATATTTTTTTAACAAGTATGTTGCGTAAAATGTTTTTTGCAGCAACTATATTCTTTTAAAACACTTATATTTCCTTTTAACTGCCTGCAAGTGTACAAATGAAAGATATTTATCCATAATTGCTTAGGACTTTATTCCACAACCTCTTTGAATACAGTCTGCACCTTCATGGTTTATAAAGCAAATACTTTGCACTTCCCTAACTACCTTGTTGGTCTATGGGTCATAAACACAAATGCTGATCATGAGGTACCGAGAGATAGGTCAAAAATCAGTTATTGGGTTTTTCTGCCAAGAAATTCTCAGCAGCAGTTTGAATCAGAAAGTTAGCGGTGTTTCACCTCTGTGTCTGGGAGAGCACGGAACGCCTTCGATCCTGCACCTGATCTCTCTCCGGTCGGTTCGGTTTACTGTCCCATCAGAATATGAGAGTAAAGGAATAGAGTGCATCTGTACTTGTGCGTACATATGGGCACTATAGTCCTGTACTGCGCAGATGGCTAATCTCCGTTGAGACTGGCTGTTGTGACCGATTTCTGTCTGGAGGTCATTAGCTCACACTTATCTACATTTTACCATACCTTATATATAGAAATTTCATAATGTACTATTAAACACTTGTTAATACACAAGTCTATCCAATTATGGAAGCAAATTGAAATAGCTATTTTTATTCTTATATCAAAGTAAGGAAAGGTAATTTCAAACAAAATAATTATTATATTGTTTTAAATTTTCAACACCATGCATAAATTGTCTTACCTTTAGGGCATCATAAAACGCCCATCAATGTTATAACATATTTTTGTTAACTATGACCACATCACAAGTTTGTAATAAACCATAACTAGAGGTTACGAATATTGTAAAAAGCCTATTTAGACAAACAATTATTGTTTGTATTAAAAGCCAAGCCAGCTCCACAATTATGAAATCTATTTTACTATTTACTATCATTTATTTCGAGATTTTTTTGACAATGATAAAGGTTTATTTTGACTATGTTTATAAAATGTCATATCAAAGAAAATAAATTCATGATATATATAGTTTTAGCATGTTGTTGCACAGTGTCGTGTTTTGGCTTTTTGTAACAATTGTTACATAAAGGATGCAATATTACAATTGTTATTTATTCAATCTGTAAATTATAGATATTTAATATGTTTTTTCTTTAAGATTGGTGGAAGTGATCAAATGGGCAATATTTCTGCTGGACATGAACTGATAAGCAGAACAGTAAATAAGAAAGTTTACGGTAATAAAGACAATTTTAAATAATTGTTATTGTATTTATTATTTTAATTTTATTAAATTTTGGATTAGTTAGTTGTTGGTATGCAATACATAACCATATCTTGAATTTTCGCGTTTAGGTTTAACTCTTCCATTAGTCACCACGGAAGAAGGTGACAAATTTGGTAAATCAGCAGGAAATGCTCTTTGGTTGGATGCTAAGAAAACTAGTCCATACAGCTTATACCAGTATTTTGTAAGAACAAAGGATTCAGATGTAGAAAGATTGTTGAAGCTCTTCACTTTCTACAGTTTGGGTGAAATTAAAGATATAATGTTCAAACACAAAGAGCATCCAGACCAAAGATATCCACAGATGTGCTTAGCTGATCAGTTAACAACTTTAGTTCATGGAGGTAAATAATAAAATATTTATTATTAAATTGCTTACCGAATTACCTATGGTTCTTAATTTACATCATCATAGTTTTTTAATATTACTTGCTTATCAATGCTTAAAATGAAAGTTGCTTATAAATATTTAAATTAACTATTAATGATAAGAAAAAATGCATGAAGGTGACTCTTTACGGCCACACTTTCATCTTCCCATTTGGTAACTATTAACACTAAACTGGTTTAAATGTAAACCTATTCAGTGTAATAAGAATTTATTATCATTATTCTAAAGATTTATTATTTATATTTTAGGTAAATCCAATTTTTATGTCAAAAATTAAAAAAATACTCAGTAAGAATTACTTGTAATCTAAATTGAACAAAAATTATTCAATGTAGTCCAATGTCCTAATTATTCAATGTAACTCCACATTTCTAACCTATGAGAGTTTTGCCTTTATTAACCGAGGAACTTATTATTTTTTCATACTTGTTTTACGAAATGTGCAGTAAAAGAACTTGAGCCCATTGTCTAGGATCTTTGAAATAAAATTTCTTTTGTTTAAATTAGTAAAGGAGCTAAGAACCTAAAAATAAGTAACAGTGGAGTGAAAATAATTATGGCTTAGCCTTATATAATAAAACTATTACTAGTATGTGACTGTAAAACAAAATTTGTATGTGTAAACACATTGCCTTTACAGAAAATGGTCTTGCACAAGCGCGACAAGCGACACAGGCAATATACAGCAAAGATGTAAAATCACTTGTTGCGCTAAATTCATCAGACTTAGAACAAGTGTTTGAAGGAGCACCTGTAGTGAATTTACTTCTATCACCTGGCATCTCTGTACTGAAGCTAGGAATGATGGCAAAGTGCTTCCCAACGGAAAGTTAGTTACCATGATTTATTTTGTATTCAATACAAAACACATTTTCTTAAAATTAACATTAGTTGATCATGATTAGACATACATAGACTTTTTGGCGTATGTTTAATGTTCAGTCAGTTTTTTACAACTGTATTTTAACGGCTTTTGTAAATCATTTCTTAATGGCACTAAACTTTTTTTCATGTATATTTTCAGGTGATGCAATGAGAATCATTCAAGCCGGAGGGTTTTATATAAATCACCAAAGAATAAAAAATATAAATGAAGTTATAACAGAGTCTGCCCACATTCTACCCAATCTAATATCACTATTACGAGTTGGTAAAAGAAACTACTACATTGTCAAGTGGCAAACATGATAGTGTTAATGTTTAAATATTTTGCTTTAAGAGGAAATAAAAAGCATTCATCAGAATATAATTATTATTATTACTTACAACAGAAGCTTGTATACTTGCAGTATATAATGAATAAAATGCGTATCACATAAACATTGTAAATACTACATAACATAGTTTAGCTTAGAGTAATATTCACTGAAATAGCGTGGCTAAAATACAACTAATTAATGCACTGTCAAATCGTAAATATCGTAAAAATATGGCTACTCATAATACAACTCGTTACGTTTTTGTGCATTGTCCCGGCGCGGCGGACTTATGTCAATCTCTCTAATATCACAAAGATTTATCCGTAACATTATATTGTACAAAAACTCATACACAAAGCACAACATATTGTTATAGCAAACATTGTTTGTAGCAAGTGATATGTCTTTTTCGCAATTATATCTTGCAATTACAATCAATAAATACATCTCGTTATTACTGAAGATACATATTCTATGAAAAATTACACCTTTAATAAATATGGAATAAAAAAATAATTGACCAATGCAAAAAATATATGATGCATTAAGGTTTCTATTTGCACTAATACTTGAAAATCAGCCGATTCCTATATTTTATTTGTAAATAGAGGGCATCAGTCTGCGATTTTTAAAATCGTTTGCTTACACGTAAAATGCTACTGTCAACATTTTTAATTTGTTATCAACATTATTGCGCTCTCTTACGTATAAACTAGTCATGCGCATTCACTTAGTATTAAAGCTAACTTAGACTTGTAATATAAATAGTTTAGGAGAATCGCAGTTAAACTTGCATTGTCTACAGAAGCTTTGATTGTTAATAATAAAATCAAAGATGAAAAAATTGACCCGATCAGGGAAGTTTTTCGGGAATACTAGTTAACCCTTTCGTTTAGTGAGTGACTTGAAGCGGAGATCCCAATAAACAATGACTAGTGTAGACAAATGCTAAAAATCCGGTTAATGTGTACATTCAACGCCGTCCTCATATGAAAAATGAATGAATATATTTTTGCTTCCCAGACTTGAATGTAACCCCGTGTTATTACTGGCCATTGAAAGTTTACACACTATGGGATCTTTTCTTCGCCGCCAAGATTGCATTCTTTTCCTACACTATTTACGCCACAAATGCTTTCCTAAGCATGATCACGACTTTTTATAAAAATACAGGACGGGCAGGACTAGAGGTCGGTACTCTCGTGTTGCGGGGGCGGTACTGGTGGCGGTGGCGCCGGTACCATCGGCCGGGGGGGTCGCGCTCGTGGCGATACAGGCGCCTCCGTTATACTGCCTTCCGATTGCGACAACTGACGACTGGCACTGCTCAAACTCTTGGGCTCCTCTAACTCCGCGTCCTTCCCACCAGAACTGTGAGTACGTTGTACTGTAGTCCTAGGTGTATCTTCCGTATCCGTGTTTCCGCCTACTTGGATGACAGTTGGATGCTGTTTATCGACCGTGTATATGTGCGTGCGTTCTAGTACCGTCGGTGCGAGGTCCGTGTTGTCGGCGGAGGTGCGCGCGCGGAAGCTTTGAGGGCGCAACGTCGCCGGACGTTCCGGGACGGCCGGCTTGTGTCGTAATTGTACTTCGCCGGATTCGTTTTCAGCCGGTACTCCAGATGACGTTGTCGACGGTACAATGGTTCTCGGCGCTGCAACAGGCCGTGGTGGCGGCTGTCCGGTTGGTTTTGTTGTTATCTGTACCTTCGTTGGTGCTAGCTTAATATCCGCTCCAAGTGAAGCGGGACCGCTCGATATATCACCGATTACTTTCATTCTGCCGACTATACCTGTTGTCGCCGTGACGTTTTTCACGATCAACGTTGATTCCTTATCCCCTTTACTATCGATAGCTTTCAAACAGTCGAATTTATCTTTCTCAAACTCTAAACTTTGTCGGCGTATATCGGTTAAGTTTTCGCGGCTGGCACTTTTCGCTGCTTCTTCTTTTAGCGCTTTGCTTTGGCGATACGTAGAACGGTTGATCGTTTGCACTCCCGTAATGACTTTGCCCGTGTCCGAAATAACAGGACGCGGTGGTTTAGCTGGTTTCTCGTTCTCGACCTTGGTGGGAACTTGTTGCTCTTTTGTAGCGTCGGTTACTTGCGTTTGAGCCTCCACTTTCTGTTTATTTTTATCGGGAGTGAAGTTGGGTGGCACTGGCGCTTTGTTTTTCCGCCTCGTTATAGGTTTTGGACTTCCGTGCGGTGGACTAGATTGATCGGATAGGGAACTGTTTGATTGAGCCTTCTTTATATCACTATCTAATAATATTAAACTAGTGTCATGACTGTTGCTTCTGGAGTGACGGCCCGGTCCGTCTGCGTTGCTTTTCTGCTGCGTAGACTGATGGTTATAATCGAACATGGACTTGCTCATTGAGTTGTATTCTCCATTGGACTGTTCCTGGCTCAGTGCAGCTGTTTGATTATAGCCATGAACGAAGTTTGGAGTGAAACCGTATTCGCATTGATCTGGTAGTAAGTCCTCTTTGGTGAATGTGTTGAAGAAGTTTATTTCGTCTTTGAAGAACCAGTCGGCGTGCTTGATGAGTAACTCTACGACGCAGTTGACTGCGCTCGTGATGTACATATCTAGAGTAGTTTCGTCAGCCGCCCACAGGAGATTGGGAGCAATAACTATAGCTAAATTTGATGGTGTCATTTTGTTTGTGCCTTGATTTTGCGTCAAAGCAGACAAAAATTTAATGAGATACCTAAGGTTTTGGTAATTAGCAGACGGAAGTAGGTGTATAGCGTCCCAGACGGAGTTCAAGCGTGTTTGTTCAGAGGGTTGGCGCGATGCGTTGATAAAATTTTCGTAAAGACGGTATGTTAGAAGCGGCTCGGGTAGTTCACGAAGGTATGACTTGAGCACTGAAGCGACTACGTGCACGTCTCTGTAATCGCGAGGGAGAGGAACGGTGAATAAACCCGCATCCAAAGAAAGCTTCATTCTTCTTACTTTAGACAGACCTGTAAATTGTAAAAAAAATACAGATTTTTTTTTTCAATAAAGATTTCATTTGTCATTGTTTAGTTCCCGGTGCTAAAATTAATATTCATGTCAAATATCCCTTATTCAGCATTTACCTAGAGGGTGATCGATCTTTTTTGTATTTCATACAAAATAACTTAAGAATTCCGTACCTGAACAGACTTTCATGCACTATTGTCTATTATATAATCATGTCTTCCATGAAAACTCTTTGTGGTTATTAGAAGTTAGAACAACAAATAAATATAAGCTAAAACTAAAAATACACTTGATAATTTCTCTAGTTATTTTCACTAAGTACTTTCCATATACCATTACCGTTACAGCCTATCAAAGCTGTACCTGCTGAAAATAGGCCTTGTAATAAATTGTCTCATATGGGGGATATTTGCCACAGTTGCCACGCTTTCAGGCAGGTAAGCAACCGCTGTGTTTATTTGTTATTAGGAAAAAGCTGCTACCATCTCCTAGTCTGCTTCCACTCTCGCCTCTTACGACTATTACAGGATGATACGGAATAGTCTATATTCTCACATACTAATAATAATAATAATGTCTTCCAGACCGAATTTCGGCCACGGCGGCCTGCCTCAACGGAGACTAGCCATCGGCACAGGACAGGATTATAGTGCCCAAGTGTATGCGCAAGCACAGGTGCACTCTCTATTCCCTCACTCTCATAATCCGATGGGACGGTAAACCGACACGACCGGAGAGAGATCAGGCGCAGGACCAACGGCTTTACGTGCTTTCCGAGGCACGGGGGTGAGACATCGCCAATTTCCTGACTCCGGGCAACTACTGAGAAATTTCTTGACGGCAAAACCTCAATTTTTGGCCCGACCCGGGATTCGAACCCAGGACCTCATGATCAGCAGTTGCACTACTACAACCACTAGATCCTCACATACATACATACATAAATTTTCAAGTGAGCCGATGTTCGTTTGCCTCCTCTTCCATTCCTAAACATCAAGTGCGTGATGTCCACGACTAACGCCAAAAATCCGTGTATTGCAGTCAACAGGCGGCTGACCACGTACTGAGGAGCAAGAGGTGCTTCTCTCCAAAGCAAATAATGGACGTTATAGTGGGTAAAAGAACTTCGGCTAAACAACCTGAAATGGAGGAGGCGATGGCGACTAACTAACTCGATGGCTTGTCACTATCATCTTCTATAGACAAACATCAACCACTGTGGCGCACATGATTCGTTTCTGCAGATCATGGCACAGTTGTTGATCGAGGTAGCGGTGATCGTTGAGTTGACACCGATGGCTAGCGGGCATCGTATCGTCGTGAGCTGTCGGCGTCCCACCCAACTCACACTATAGTTGCAAGGGGTAAGGGATATGCGACGAACCTCGCCTGGAGCACCTCTTAACGCACTTCTATGCCAAATACCCCTTGAGTTTTAAGTAGACACGGAGGCGAATTTGTATAGGATCAACGCTTAAGACGATTTGAGGTTACAACCATTATATATATATTGAGATTTGAGAAGCGACTGTAGCCTAATGGCAGGGCGTGGACCGCGAACTCAAAAAGGTCGTGGGTTCGAATCCACCATTCGACTACTGCCGTGAACCATTCGTAACACAAGCAATTTAAGCTTACCACGAGTGGTTAAGGGGAATATTAGTAATGTTAATAGTTATAGCATTGTTAATATTCTTTTTTTAAAAATAAAAAATTCAAAGATGAAACTTAATGACCTCAAAACTAGTATGAGAATATCCTGGGGTGTAACAACAGGGTCCGGACCCTGTAGTGTGTCATACAGGTATTGTGGGTAATGAATAAGGCGATAAGCTCGCATAGAAGGGATCAAAGAGTACACAATTTGGACCCGAGCTGCGATTGAGGCACGAAACTCTATCACAAAAAAAACACTTAAAATATATTCTGATATATCAGGCTTAAAACATTCCATACCTTAATGAGGACATATGATTGTAAATTCGCTTCAGAAGCCCTGGGATTAATAAGATTTTTTTTTAAATAATAAAATCTTTATTCTCAGAAAAATGTGTAACAAAATTTTCCATATTAAGTACGATTACAGGCATCAATATACTAGTAACATACTAAGTCAGAACATTGCTTATTCAGGAGTCCTGACATTGGCATTGCTGTTTAAGAAAAGCACATATCTTGGCAACTCAAGGATCTGCAGATTCTGATCTGTAAGGGAAGAAACACCTCTGCATATCCTAACAAATTACGGACCCTTAATGCGCAAACGTAGCAATTCATTGAATTCATTAAAGATATAGCTTAGCAGTGAACTATAGCCATAGCAGTATATAATATCTTAGTGGTGGCAGTTATACTGGTTTAATTAGACCATAGAAGATGCATAGTTGCTTAAATATGCAGGAGGTGAGGGATATAAGACAATTCAGTGGAGAGAAATAATTCTCGTCGAGGTGTACTTCTCACTAAACACATCCCTCGATGAATTCAGGGTGTTCTTGGGCCATCTGAGGACTCTTATTTTGCGAAATTTTAACGCTAAATCTACAGTCGGGGGTTCTCCTGTAACTGACGCGTGTGGTGAGGCACTGGAAGACTGGGTTACTATGACGGGCCTGACAGTTCTGAATCAGGGATCGGTTTTCAAATGCAAGCAGAAGACAGAGAGAGTATATTGCAGGTGTCTTATTTGCATCTCCTGTCGTAGCAAGCTGCGTTCGTGGCTGGAGAATTTTGAAGAATGTGGAAACGTTTTCTGAACATCTTTATACACAGTTAGATATTTCAACTTCTCCAGAGACTCCAGGCGCCAGTGATCTGGTCAGGAGGCACAAACCATCATCAGCCTCGAGATAGGTATTGAAAGGTATGAACAGAGATGGTGTGATTGAAGCCTAGTATCGTCCACGCCTGTTTGACTCCTCCGACTGGCCTTGTGGAGGTTGAGAAAAAACAAGGTTTTCTCCTAACTCAATAAAAATTCGGATACATAATATAGGTAAGGACATAATATACTCACCACCGGCAATTCTGAATAGGCCTTCTTCGTTGAGTGCGAGTTCATGTAAGGTGCATATGCAAAGCTCTAGTGGAAATGCTATGGTCCGTCCTGTTACGCGCAGATGTTCCTCCAGCGGATATCCGAAAACTGGCTTAGTGGAGCTATCATCTGTAAGGAGTATCAACTTGATTAAAATAGAAAATAGAGGAAAGCTAAAAGGAACCCTAATAATAATGCTTACTGAAAAAACTAACTTAAAAAACTAATTTACACGTTCTATAGAAAACTTCGACCACAACTGTAAAAAAAAGTAGTTAGAAAGTGGCCGATGGTATCCTATACCTTTAAACGAGTAATTCTTGTATATATATACAACATGTCACAAAAACCCTGTGGTTCCCGTTAAGTGTGTTATCAGAATCAGTATCCAAGTGCATAGAAATAATTATTTTTCAAAAAACACATTTAAAAAAATTAGTTTTAATGAAAAAAAAAATTTGCAAATTTTATGTGGTTTTATTTCCTCTAACTCACACGAGTATCTGTAACGCCGTCTTTGACAATCCTCTTACTCCGCGGCCAATGCCGAGATAATAAAACCACATACAATTTGCAAATTCATTTTTTTTTTCATTAAAATTAATTTTTTAAAATGTTTTATGGAAAAAATCTAAAAATGATAACGCAGTTAACGGGAACCACAGGGTTTTTGTTACATGTTGTATAATCGGAATGTCGGAAACGGCTCCAACGATTTTCATAAAATTTAGTTTCCAGGTTTTCGGGGGCAATAAATCGATCTAGCTAGGATTCATTTTTAGAAAATGTCGTTTTGTCCGTGTTTTCAGGCAATGAAAACTGTTACAATATAAGAAGGTAAATTTTGACACTGTGTTAATGATCGTAATAGCTGGATATCGAGCGGTCGCGAAATTGTAATGCCTTGGTTCGCGTCCTGTCTTCGATCCGATTTTTTTCCTTTTTATTTTCAAATTTCCTTCTTTTGTGAGAAAAACTATTATTTCGAGCCCTTTTTTTTTAGTATTTTTTAAAAATACGAAAATTTTAATTAAATAATTGCACTCATGATTTTTTATTCAAATAACTAGTTCAGTTTTTTTCTATTATGTCATAAGATCAAAAAATATTATTGATGTTTCATCAGTATGTAATTTGTATCTAAATGTAATTTCAAAAAAAATATTCGGTCATCCAGGTACTTTTTATAAACTAAAAATTGTTATGTAAAAAATTGTCGGGAGCACAATAAACAGCATCGAAAAAAATGTTTCTCACATGATAGTAATCAAAAAGACGCGATTCGGTAAGTGGCGCTATTGTCGAGATTCAGAAATCACCCGTGCAAAGCCGAAGCGGAGCATTAGTATTCTATTAAAAGTACCTAAATATATCTTTATAATAAATTCGTTATTTTTGTATTATATATTGAAGACCGATACTGGTCTACTAGAGGATAGGAGGGAGTAAGCCAGGCTTAGATTGTTTACGGCATCAAGTAGTCTTAGTTTCAGCTCAAAAATCTAAGAGCATCATGGAGGAAGCTATGCGAGGAAGTTGAGTCTTTGTCTCGCAGTGCAAGACTACACATAATGCTATCGAAAGCTAAACCAAATCAAGTCGGGCTCCTCAAAAAGCCTGATGATAACTTCACCACTAGTGAAACAGAAACATTGGAGTTACTATCGTCAACCCACTTCCCAGGGGCACATAAGACATTTGCCTTGAACTATTTCAGAGCCCTACGAACGCCTTGTAGTGAGAACTGGTGTAGGTAGGGCTGCAAAGATAATAAGTCCAAACCTAGTGCAGTGAGAGACTGTGTTGACTCCTTCAAAGCATATAATACAAGCGGGGAGGATGGTATAATTTCCATCCAACTACAGAGGGGTATCAATATCCTTCTTCCTTATCTGTGGAAAATCTTCAGAGCAAGTTTTGCATAAGGATATATTCCAGAACGATAGACAATTGTCAAAATTCTATTTATACCTAAGGCTGGTAGAAAGGATTACCCTTTACAAATGTCCTTCCGACCTATAAGCCTATTTTCCTTTCTCCTTAAGAAACTGGAAAAGGTTATATATAGACATCTAAGATAGACACATATATGTAGCTCTAGCTACAAGACCCATACTTTACAACCAGCATGCTTACTGCAGAGACAAATTTACAGAAACAGACCTGATCAGTGTTATTGACAGGGTCGAGAAAGCACTGAGGGATAAAGAAAAAACTTTTTGTGCCTTTCTAGATATTGAAAGTAGCCTCACATCACTGCTGATTGGGGGCCTGACATATAAAAATGTTGACCTCACAATCATCAGGTGGGTGAAGTCAATGCTCTCAAACAGAAAGGCAAAAATAGCGCTGTTTCAAACTTCTATTGAGGTTGCAACTACAAGAGTCTGTCCACAAGGAGGTGTTTTGTCATCCCTTCTTTGGACTCTTGCGGTTGACCAAATATTGTACAAGATGGCAGACCTTCGCATTGACACACTAGGTTATGCTGATAACCTTGTGATCATTGCGAGGGATTTTTGCCAAAGTAATTTATCATTAATCATACAAAGAGCTCTAAACACCACAATTAACTGGTGTAGGGATAACAGTTTATCTATTAATGTTGATAAAACTGTCATAATACCCTTACCAAAAACAGACGGTTCGACATATTAGTCACACCAAAACTCAATAGTAAAGAAGTACCATTCTCCACTGAAGTTAAGTTGGACAATCGACCAGAAATTAATGTGGAACTCTCACCTTAGCAACGTTGCCACAAGGCAACTTTGCTAAGGTGAGAGTTCTACTTTACTTGCTTTAGGTACGTGCAGTCGTTTGGTCGGGAACTAGGGCTTGCGTCCCAGTATGATCCTATGGCTATACAAACAACAGCATAGTGAGGCCTATTCTCACATACGCCAACCAAAAGACGACTGCGGGCAGACTAAATAGTCCACAAAGGACTGCCTGGTTAATGGCAACTGGAGCGATGCGATCAACGCCTGGAGCGACTCTTAATGTACTTCTATGCCTAACGGTCCTTGATCTTTATTTAGACAAGGAGGCGAGGGCTAGTTTGTATAGGATTAACACCCAGGGCGGTTTGAGCTTGCTTTCCTACAGATTGAGATCCGTGCTCGACTCAATTAAGGATACATGCATGATCTCAGACATCATGCGTCCACTATACACTTGTAATAAAACGTATATAGTGGAACTACCCTCCAGAGTAGACTTCCTGAATGGACAGGTCATCTGTGAGGTTGGTAGCTTCATATGGTATACCGATGGGTCAAAAATGGGCCTCGACGTAGGCTTTGGAATTTATGGGGAAGGCCCCAAATTCAAACTTAGTATGAATTTGGGTAGATTCACCTCTATCTTCCAGGCAGGAATATTTGCCATACTTCAGTGTGCGGAAATCAATCTGCAAAAGCACTACGTCAACCATATAATCTACTTACATAAACTCTGATAGTCAAGCAGCACTGCCAGCACTGAAGTCAAACTTAGTGAACTCGAAGCTAGTTGGAGACTGCGTGAACCGTGTAAACGCCCTGGGATGTAACAACAGGGTCATCTTAATATGGGTTCCAGGTCACGCGGGTATTGTAAGAAATGAATTTGCCGACAAACTTGCACGGGAAGGCTCATTTTGGACCTGAGCCTTTTGTGGAATCTCAAAAAGCCTAGCCCGATTGACCCATAAAACACACAAGGCTTAAATATTCTAAAACCTTAATCCGGGTTTTTGATCGTAACGCTTCAGAAGCCCCGGGATTAAGTAAAAATAAATTGCGCATTCTGACAAGAGCCCTAACTGGACTTGGTTGGGTGTCTTACAAAGCACATGTCCATCCTGGGACTAAGCAACTCAAGGATATGCAGGTGCTGTTCCATAACGGAAGAAACGCATCTGCACATCCTAACTGATTGCGAACCCTTAATGTGCAAACGTAAAATTCATCTGGGAAATTATGTACTCCGCCAAGAAGAAATGAAATTGCTCACAGCTAAGCAACTCCTTCTATTCACTGAAGACATGCAGCTAGCTAGCTTAACAGTGAACTATAGCCATAGGAGCAATCACAATAGATCTTTTAGGTCGCAGATACTGATATCTTTCCCTAGACCTGCATAGCTGCTCGCACATTTAAAAATACTACTTAAAGCTTAACATGTGGATTGTTAACACCTTTGCTACTCTAATATTATAAGAAAAAACTTTTTTATTTCCGACTGGTAACAGTTTCACATGACTCATTAAGTATCTGCAACTAGTATTACATTATAAAGTACATGTGCAACAAGTGCTGCTTTATTGAAAGCTATAAAATATTTAATTACACTATTATTGGCTAAGGCCTCAATAACTGAACACGCATTAATTGTTTATGTTATTATATCACGCCAGAATTGACTCGTTATCGGTAGTATCTAGTTTACTGGTACAGTTTTACCATTTAAAATACTTTATTGCACATTATGGTATCATGGCGGTACAAGAATATCCATTACCCCATATCGCCCCATGTAAGTGCCGGAAGAGGCGACAAAAGTACAAACGAGGAGATGGGTAGTAGCAACTTTTTTTTAATAGGATAGGGTGACAAACGAGCACACAGTCCACTTGATGGTGAGTGGTTGCTGTGGCCCATAGACATCTACATCTATTCTCGATTACAAATCAAAATGCAGATGCGTTGTCGCCCTGAGGACTAAGATGGAATGCCTCGATTCCAGCAGAAAGGGTCTCCGGTTCTCTACATTCACCATATGAAACACGGCAGCATTAAGCTATTATTTTACGCTGATATTCTGTGAGAGCGTGGTCCTTCTCCGGTCGAGCCGACCCATTCGTGCTACAACTATACTGCTAATACAACTGCAGCATGGCTCCACCACGTATAAAACTAAACAAAACTGATAACAGCTAAAAAAACAACAGTAGCCAACCCGCTTGCTCCACGTGACCAATATGCCAAATATCCCACCTAAGGGGGAGTCCTAGGTTCAACAGTGGACTTTTGAAAGGCTGTAACATGTTTGTTGTTGTTGAACGATAACAATTAACTGTATCAAACGCATATTTTACGTTAAGTCTAGACTGTCATTTGATACAAGATTATAAATATGAATGTAAAGTAAGCTATCAAAGTAAAATGAACTAAGAATACTAGAAATACAAAAATAATAGTTATTGTCATGATGAAATCTATCGCGATTTTCAAATTGTGCTGTAGTCTTCACCAACAAAAAATGGATTAAAGTAAATAAAAAATATTAACAACATTCTGTAAACGCATAAATTAATATGCTGTCGAGCAAGTTCCACTAATAGAAGTGGTGGAAACATTGTTAGTTCTATTAAAATGGCCCATTAATTGCTTGTTTGCTTCGAACAGTGTGGGCATGTCTCAGAATAAATGAACTTAATTGAATGTGTGCCTTAAGTTGTTTATTGCTCCATCGCAATAATTTTAAGAACAATGCAATAAAATATTGTATTAATGTGAAGTGAATAAAAACTTTACTATCTAATTTACACATTATCTAATTATATTTAATTTCTAATTAGACAAGCACAGTTAAAGAAAAGCTGTTGAAAAGAAAAAGTTATTTATTTTAGTGTAATTACTGTATCAACAATATCAACAATGGATGTGATGAATAAAACGTAAAAATTGGAAAATATTTAGTCATATAAGAAATCATGATGAATTCTAATAAAGCAATTTTTTTACATTTTATATATAGAACTATTTAAAGTATTGGTCTTTAATTTTCGATTTTTTTTTGACAAAGTTTCTACGTCTTATTTTTTATATGATGTGGAATATTGCAAGCACAACGCTGCTGGTATTACGCTGTCACTCCCATATGTTTCTGCTAGCAAGGCAATTCATCATAGTCCTCAGGGATAAACAATGCATCTTCATTTTAATTTTAAATTGAGGACAGATGTAGGCGTCTATAGGCTTAAGCCACTTTAGTACAGAATTGTTATATTATTATTAATTGGGGTATCTATATAGTTATTCATCTGGTTGGTTCTATAAATATATAATTATAAATTAAAATAAATATACATAAATATCAATAAAATAAAATAAATACAAAAAATACATAAATAAATAAAGATTCAACCAGATGGAATATATTATTATAATAAAATAATCTAATATTATATATTATTATAATATTAGATTAGACAATAAATCGGTAGCCCAGTGGCTAAGCTTTTGTCCAGCTGCACGGAAAAATACTTGTATAACCTACAGATAACTATTCCGCGTCTGTAAATTTATCTATGTACAAATTATTTTCGCCTCCACATAAAAAATTCCTAGTGTTATATGCATATGTACGATTGTAGTACCAGACATCTTGCACCTTAGACACTGCCTATTTCCGTTCTTGGTATTTCAGGTTTGGCATAAAACAAGTTAATTATATCGACATCTATATAACTATCACGTGGCATTGTCGACTTTTGCGACACCCGCGGGAACAGTGTGGACTGGCTTACGTCACCTTTTCCCTACTAGTTAAAAGACAAATAGGCTTTATATCTGTTGTCCTCTGCAATTAATGACTAAATAATAATAATAAAGAAAACTTTGAATAAAACTATTATTTACGGATTTCATCGCCTTTATTTACTACTTCAATTTATTTTTATTATCCCGACGTTCTGGGTGCTTTACAGCATCCATGGTCACGGGGGGGGGGGGGCAGATGTTTGACGTCCCAATGTCAGTTAGTCTGGCTACCTTCAGTTTTTGAATATTAATTTTTGGTCCGATTTATAATTTGGATCGGATAGGAATCGGATAATCGGAAAATATAATAATACCAATGTAATAAATAAAACATAGGATTCATTTCGTTTATATTACTTATACTGAGATTTATTACTCGTACACTTCATCAGAGCAAAGCGAGTTTCACACTGTCAACAACAATGTGTAAGACTACATGGCAAAAACTCAAAAATCTCAGTGTTTCCTCATAACTATGGTTTCCATTTGTAAAATTGTATGAAATGAATTTATAAATAGATGTATGTTCAACTTACTAATGAACCTTTCCAGTTCTGGCACAGTGTCTTGCAATGAATGCAAAGCAGACTCGTGGTATGCTCTCTGTAGTTTCACATATTGCAGCAGGGTGTGAGCAAGTTGGGCTTCTTTGGCGACAAGGGCAAACATATCTGCGGCTAGGGCATCGCGAGCAGCTTCTACTCGCGTTCCCGCCTCTTCCAGTTCCTCGCGAGCTGCACTTAATTTGGCAGGATTTTCCTCTTTTTGCCGCTCTAGATTCTATGAATAAATAAGAATATATTCAATATAGACTTGGAGAAATTATTTCATCAATTGGAATTTTAATTGAATTAAAATAGCTTTTCCTTTTGGAGTACAGCCATGAGAGCAACCATAGACAAGAAAAGGCCAAAACACTTCAAGTTGAAATTACTTTTATTGCGTACTTTGGGCTTTGCCTCCATCGGCCGTTGCTTATCCTCTGGTAAATAGTCCTATTACGATAATGACTCCAAAGAATAAGTAATTCATTCATGGGACAAAAACTATTAATATAAGAATAAATATTGGTAGATAAAAATACATGTAAATGTTAGATTTCGCTATTCTGTTTCGGCAAACGATCTGCAGAAATGATAGTAGAATTTAAAATCAAGAAAATCATCAGGAGCTGACAACATTGCGATTTCTCATATTAAAATTATAGGGTACATTTCCCTAACAATTTCTGCCTGAATTAATTTTAGCATTTGAGTTAAGGATGTGTCATACCTGTGCACAAAAGCGGAAGATGTGAGGACAGCAAAAAAATATGCAATTTTTACGGAAAAATCTATTAAACACTAATAAATTTGTATCAGTTTGGCTTACAATCAGCCGGGCTAGCATGAGCCGGAGAGAATATATCCCCGGAGAGAGGATATAATTTTTATCCCTTGCTTAGTTTTATCCACCCTACGAGCATGGGCAAGAGACAAAAATTATATCCCCCCGATTATATCCACTGACAAGAGGTAAAATTATCTCTATAGTATATCCCCGTTTGACATAACGAGTGGACATATATCTCCCCGTCCGTAGCATGGGGCCAAGGGAAAGAGAAAAAATTATCCCTTTTTGACATTTGAAAGGGACAATTTTATCCTCTTTCGCGGACGTGGGTTTATCTTCATACCATTTTAATACAAAAAAGATGTCTCGAGCCTAGTTAGTTAGTTAGTTAGTTTGCAACGGGCTGTTTTCCGCAACTCCACGTCTCTGCGCGTATTTTGCGTGTGGGCAGGAATAATGTGATTATTCGAGCCATGAGATCTCCCCGAAGAAGCTCAACAGTCCCTTGATGTTGCATGCAACTTCGGGGAGTGATCCCGGCGTGCCGAGATGTTTAGCCCTGTACGTAGCGACCTCCGGACATTTCAGTAGCACGTGGGCCGCCGTTTCGTCCTCCCCCATACATGCCCTGCACAGGGGACTATCTGTAACACCTATAGTAAATAAATGTTTGTTAAAGGTGCCATGTCCTGTGATAGCACTAGTTACTATCCTGATCTGCGGCTTGTTCAGTCTCATTAGAACTTTGGTTAAGCGACTGTTTATTACAGGTAGGGCCTCCCTAGCTTGTCTACAGTCTATTAGATTTTTCCAAAGCTGAGCGTGTTGATTAGTGAAGTGTCTACGTACCATTGAACGAACGTTACCAAAGGGGATTGGTATGATTGGTTCCGGCCCTATAGTGGCCAGAGCCGATCCTCTTCTGGCCAGTTCGTCCGCTGCATCGTTGCCTCTGGATCCACTGTGTCCCTTTATCCATTGTAGAGTCACATTGTATGTTTTTACATACCTCATTTAATCGTTGATGGCATTCATATATTAGTCCCGAGTTCACCCCATTGCAACTCAGAGCTTGTAGTACCGCCCTACTGTCGGTCAGTATTCTGATGGGGAAGTCATTAACCTTCCTAGCATCTATTGCTATGGCCGCTTGAATGATACCCATACATTCCGCCTGAAAGACCGTGTTATAGGTACCCAGCGGTGTGCATATGTGAATATTGAGGTCTTCAGAGAAAGCTCCAGAACCTACACCTTCCTTTGTTTTAGAACCATCGGTGAAAATTCTAAGCTCTTTTGGGCTTAATCCTTCCGGCTGGCTGTTTTCATTTAATTGTATCTTGTATTTCTTATCGAAAACAAATTGTTTAGGAATCCTATCGTATTTGGCTTGTAGGATAGGAATTTCTGAGTAAATTCTATCAATTATGCCTGTATGAGGGACACTATTCTTACTCCAAAGATTTAGGGTCTTGAGTCTGATGGCAGCTAAAGTCGCTTCTTGTTGTATATGTAGATGAAGCGGAGTTAGCTCCAGCATCGCTTCCAAGGCTGCTGTTGGCGTAGTTCTTATGCAGCCTGTGGCAGCCATACATGCCAGTCTCTGGTAGCGCTGAAGCTTCTTAATTGTGGTGGCTTCATTGGTCTTGGTCCACCATACCAGAGCGCCGTATGTGATCATGGGCCGGATTACAGTTTTGTAAAGCCACAGTATGATTTTTGGCGTCAGTCCCCATCTTTTGCCAATCATGTTTCTGCATTGCCAGAAAGTTATACTAGCTTTGTTGATTTTGTTTTCTATGTTTTTATTCCAGTTAAGTTTGCTGTCCAAGGTAAGACCTAAATATTTTACCTCAGAGGATAGCTGGAGTTTTGTGCTGAAAAGACTTGGAAGATGATAGTTATTCAGCATCCGTTTTTGTGTGAACATTACTAAAACCGTTTTATTTGGGTTGACGGTTAAGTCGTATTCCCTGCACCATCTCTCCACTATACGGAGAGCCGCTTGGGTCAGGTCGCACACTATGCTAGCTGTCTTTCCCGAGACCAGTATAGTCAGGTCATCAGCATAACCTACTGTATAAAAGTGATTAGTATTTAATTTGCTGATGAGTTCATTAATGACCATATTCCACATGAGAGGTGAGAGGACCCCACCCTGCGGGCAACCTTTCTTAATTAGGATTGGTTGAGATTCACCAGCAATCTTTATTATTCGTGTACTGAGCATGCAAACTATCCAGTCGATCAGTGCCGGTTCAACTTTATGTCTACTGAGTGCACCTTTTATGCTGGAGAAGTTTGTTCTGTCAAAAGCACCTTCTATATCTATGAAGGAACCTAGACATATTTCTTTGTTTTGGATGGCCCCTTCAATCTTAGTAATTACCTGATGAAGTGCCGATTCTGTTGATTTGCCTAGACTGTAGGCGTGTTGCTTGTCGTGTAGTGGTAAGTTCATTAGCGCCGACCTCCTTAATTCCCTTTCACACATCCTCTCCATCGTCTTTAGGAGAAAGGATGTGAGGCTAATGGGCCTGTAGGATTTAGGGTCAGTGTAATCGCTCTTACCTGGTTTGGGTATAAATGTGATTTTCACTTCCCTCCATCCCCTAGGAACATATTTTAGAGCCAGACAGGCTCTCATTATGGCAACAAGTCTGACTATTAGGGCTTTACCCCCCCACTGTAGAAGTGCCGGGAATATGCCGTCAGGTCCTGCCGCCTTATAGGGGAGGAAACTGTGAATGGCCCAATGGATTTTGTCCATCGTTACCACTCTCTGTGCTAAATTCCAGTCTTCTACTGTTGGTGTCAGTATGTCTCGAGCCTATTGCAACTACATTTTCGTGTCAGAAATTGAAAAACAAGAAGGAGAATTACATCAGCGATCGATACGTGATCAGAATACTTAATATATTGGAATTCTCCGACAACGAATTTCTACGCCGGTTTCGGATGCTTAAAGATTGTTTTGTATTTGTGTAAAGAACTCTATGAGGCTTTAAAGCCTATTAATTCTGTGGATGGACTACCAGTGCATATTGAAGTAAGCATCTATTACAACCACCTTATCCAGAAAAGTCTCATTAGCTCAATCATCATCATCATCATCATCATCTACAGCCCTTCACAAGTCCACTGCTGCACATAGGCCTCCCCAAGTAATACCACAAAGCACGGTCCTGAGCCACCTGCATCCATCGACTTCCTGCATGTCTTACCAGGTCATCACTCTATCTAGTGGGGGGTCGTCCTACACTACGCCTACCGGTACTACCGGTAATAGCTCAATGCCATGATTTAATTACATAGATTGTATCAACAATACCCAAAGCGAGTCCATGGTCAAGTCAAATTTAATGATAATAGAATCGGTCTATACTATATTTCAGGTAAGTATTATAACGTTTTAAAATAAAGTTATCAAACTTAGTAAAGATACAATTCAAAGGTTTAAATTAAGAAATATGTTAATTCTTTAGCAAAGTTTGCTAAATATACTATACTCATGATTATAAAATTATTTATTCCTTGTTTTGTTTGAAATCATTACATTTTTATTCTTCATGCTTCATCATTTTCAATTAAAATTAAATCTTTGTGACTTAGAGTAGACAGTAATTTTCTTATAATGGCAGTAATTGCGGGGATATATTTTTTTTAATTTCTTCAAGAGGTTACACCACCTCCAAAGGGTCTGTATTGTCCAGTTTCACAATTGGCTTAATACTAAACACATATTTTTTAATAAATGCTATCACAAGCGAAGTAATACCTGCGATTTGATACAAGCAATGTATATTTAACTTAAATATTATACAAAAGAAAATAAAGAAAGAATTAGAATAATAGAAAAAATAAAAACAAGGCAGAAATACGCTTAAAATAAATATAACAAATATTATAAATGACATATTGTTTAACAAAAATTATGAACAGTTTAGCAATATAATAAACAAAAGGTAAAAGAAAATATAAGTTAATGTAAATCTACTTAATCTTAAAACTAGTTTATAGCTAGTATAGTTTATAGCTTTATAGTATGGTATATTATCTATGCGCGGGGATAAGTTTAACTACTGTCGATATTATATCCACCATAGGCCCATGCTCGCAGGGTGGATAAAGCTTTGACATAGGGATAAGACAATTTTATCCCTTGTCAGTGGATATAATCGGTGGATAAAATTTTTATCCTCTGCTCATGCTAGCCCGGCAGGCAAGAGTACGGCGTCAACAGCATCGGCAGCAACAGTTGCTACAAGCACTTAGGGAGCACGGCACTAGGAACTGGTAGCATGTGATGTGGTAACTGCATTATCACATCACATGCTACCAGTTTGTGCATGACGTTTGCCTTGTAATTAGCGATAAATACACAAATATCCATATGTCAACCATTACTAATCATAAAACTAGTTGCACACAATCACAACTACATACTAACAATGTTGCCGCATGTTGCTGCCCAGTAATGAGGGCTAATAATCTTCCACACATCAGATGTCGTTACTTGGGACTGAGGTCTGGCCTCAGTCACTCATGCTTATGTTATTACGTACAAACTACCAAACCCGGGTCGTGTACGCAGTCGGGGCTAGCGCGTTGTAGGTGATTGAATGTTAAAGTCTTTTAACATTGTTTACGTAAATAGTTATGTTGTAAATATTTATTGAAATATTTTTTGTTTAGTTTAGGTAGGTTAAAATAGTTGAATTTTTTATGTAATTTAAAAAATATATATATTATTTATATTGCCTATGTGATATATAATAAGCGCAATAAGTCGTTCCTACTATAATTGTTACGTGGTTGGACGCCAAATGACCAAGAAACATTTCAGATATATCATTCTTTAAGTTACCGAAGAATTTTAGTAGGAAATTATGAAAAGTGAATTTATTTCATATTATGTTTTTTATTAGATAGGAAATTATAGTAAAAAAGAATTAAGTAATAATTTAACTACAGTAGTAATAGCTAAGTACTTTATTACAAAACTTAATTGAAATTTACTTCACTATCCAAGTATTTGAAACAGAAACAGAAACTTTTTTATTCAATGTAGATTATAACAATACTTATTGAAAGTCACTTTTTTCATTTACCACTGGTTCGCAAAAAAAAACTCTGTCCTGGGAAGAACCAGCAAGAAACCCAGCGGGACTATTTTTTTTCCAATAATAGCTTACAATCATGTTTACAATCAACAACACAAGACAAATTAGAAATAGCTTGGTAGCGATCACCCTTCCCAGGGGTTATTATCATCCATAAATTCCTTAATATTATAATAACCCTTTTTATACAAACTTAGTTTAATAACATTTTTGAACTTTGTGTACGACAAATTTTGTATATTTTCTGGGATTTTGTTGTATTATCTACTTACATCAGTATAGGTATACTTGCATTTTGTAATTAAAATATTTTAAGTTATAATAACACAAAACACTGTAATTAAAACTTTATTTACTAACAAGATTTTTAATTAAGTAGAATACAATCACATTTCTGTTCGGAATTGTATTTCAGGTTTAATTGTTGTTTACACTATCTACCTATTTCTTCCGAGCCAAGCATCGCGATTCCCGACGAATGGCCTTGCAAGATGCATGCGTTGGGCATCACAGAACTTACATAGGTGCAAAAATATGATCAGTTAATCATAATCAGCAGAGGTATTTCACTTAAATAACTTAATTACCATTTCGAAATGTATCTTTTTACTCTTTATTGACAGCCCTTAGTAACCACGGAAAGTTCGTCGTGACGTAAGAAGGGGAAATGATGCAAAGTAATACAGACACTCTAGCGCAGCGATAAAGTTTTATTTATATTGCGTGCACGATTTATCTAATTAATAATAATTATGTAGGCTATTAAACGTTGGCAGGCAGTCAAAGGAGTGAAACTTCTGTACGTAGTACTATTATTTACTCTGTACTGAGGTGAAGTTTTTTGTGGTGCATTGCCATTTCATTGAGAACTAAGTTTTAAATAAAGTTTCTAGAGTATTATATTAATACATAAAGCAATGCTTCAGTGGTTTGCTTTTCAATTATTTGCATATTTTAACTCCTTTTTTTTTTCATTTTTCTACTTTTCGTAGTTTGGTTGATTTATTTCTAATCTAATTACTATAAAACATTACTAACAGTACAGAAAGAAACCTTAACCTCCACATTTTACTAACAAATTAACTTCCCTGCTATGAAATCTGTTAAATATTTCACGTCATTTGAAGGTGGCACTGGCCTAATGGGATATATTCGTGGATGGCCCTATATAAGTATCTCAATATATAGTTGTAACACAAACATGGTGCAATTTTTTTAATTGGAGTTATCACATTGAACATGTCTCTAATAAACAGTTTTAAATAGAAATCACTACCCTCAAATGCAGCCTAAGTAGCTACGGATAAATGTACAAATCATATCTTGATGAGATATATAATTTATTAATTTACTTAAAAATTAAAATCATAGTTCCAAAAAATAAAAACAGATTCCAGGCCAATGCCAGTAGTCTATTCCAACACTGCCAAACTTCTTTCCTGTTGGGAGGACTAAACTCAAAGTTATTGAAGAGTATGTTTACCTGGGAAAAATAGTTTGAATAGGTAAGTCCAACTTCAAACGAGAAGCAAATCGACAGATTGAAATCGGCTGGGCAACGTTCCAGAAATTACGACATATCTTCTCGTCAGTATACCTCAAAATTTGTAAATGAGATTGAATAACCAGTGTGTGTTGCCAGAGATGACTTACGGATCTGAGACATGGTCTTTCATTCCCGAGTAGCAGCCTCATACCAGTAGGCGAAGTGTAGGACGACCCCTACTAGATAGAGTGACGATCTGGTAAGACATGCAGTAAGTCGATGAATGCAGGTGAACTCAGAACCGTGCGTTATGGTGTTCCTAGAGGAAGGCCTATGTTCAGAAGTGGATTTGTTAAGGGCTGTAATAATGATGATGAAACCTTCCTAAGTGGATAGTCATTCAGAGAATATGGCATATGCATAAATGACTGACTTACTGACTGAACTTATTATAATGTCTTTCTTTTGATGATTTCTTACGTTTATTTAATGAGTTGGGCAAGCAAACAAATAGCTCTGTAATACCTCGGATTACCAAATACTTGGCACTGCAACTAATGTATAAAGTCATGCAGAAAATTATTAAATGTAAGGAAAAACAATTACTTTCACTATTTTTTTAATGATTCCTTATGTTTATTTTTTCTTTAATATATTTTTTCTCTTCTTGTTCGAAATTAGTGAAAAAGATGGTTCCTCGTTGTAACCACCTACTCATTATTTGTTAATTTTAAGTCTATCTATATGTTATATCTTTATAAAATAACTAGCTTGCCAGGCAGATGTTGTTCTGCCCTTTTCGACTACCCTCATGACTACTGACGACTACTGTCATGTCTTATTAAAAATCCTTAAATTCGCAAAAAAAATATCCTATCTCTCAAGTTGGACCAAACTGCACACGGTGTGCAAATTTGATTAAAATCGGTTAAGTACTTTAGGAGTCCATCGCGGACAAATAACGTGACACGTAATTTATATACAACATGTCCCAAAATACAACGATAAGCGAACACCGGAGGATAGACCTGCCCCGGACTAATCGGGAAAAAAAGAAAAAAAAATATATCCCAATTATATTTTAAGTTATATAAAAAAAAATTAAATTCTTCAGAAATTGTGACCGTTTATGATATTTTTCACTACCGTGACCACAATTTTTTTAATAAGTATTTGTTTCTTTTTTTTTATAGGCAACCTGAATAGCACTGCTATCTACCATAATTCTTAAAAAATCCAGAATAACTCTTGTTTTACAGTCAACTTGGCACCGCTGAAGGGACTGCAGCACCGCCCAAATTTCGACGGAATCAAAGGCTTTCTCATAGTCCACATACGCCAGGCAAAGTGGCAAATTGTACTCTTCAGTCTTCTGTACAATCTGCCGCAGGGTATGTATGTGGTCTATGGTACTGAAGCCTTTTCGGAAACCGGCTTGTTCGGGAGGCTGGAAGTCGTCGAGTCTGCGTGCGAGACGATTCGTAATGAGTCTCGAAAACAGCACGTAGACGCGGCTCAGAAGGGAAATCGGTCTGTAGTTCTTCAAGAGAGCGTTGTCGCCTTTCTTAAAGAACAAGACCACCGCACTTCTGCTCCACGCCTCTGGAGTAGTGCCACCATGGAGGACGGAATTGAAGAGCTTCTGAAGGACTTCAAGTACCGGTGTTCCACCCGCTTTCAGAAGCTCCGCTGTAATTCCATCCTCGCCTGGGGCCCTGCCGTTTTTAAGGTGCTGGAGAGCCATTCTAATCTCGCTTAGACTGACGTCCGGGATATCATCGGAATAGTGTCGGATAAGACTTGCTCTTGGATCGTTACTCACACTTGCGTGTGGCTCTAACGATGATGTGTACAGCTGCCCATAGAACCTCTCAATCTCACTCAAAATCTCAGGTGTCCCGGAAACGATGCTGCCACACTCAGTCTTCAGCCTTGACAGTTGGGAGTATTATACCATTATGGAATGTTGGTTAGTTGCGTCAATTTTTAAAAAAACTTACCATACTAGTGTTCATACTTTTTTTTTACACCATGATAAGTTAAAGTTGATTAAAAGTAAGTCTTCAAAAAATTTAGGGAATAAAATAAGTTTCACTAATTTTCATGATAAAACAAGAGTTATTCTGGATTTTTTAAGAATTGTGGTAGATAGCAGTGCTATTCAGGTTGCTCTTAAAAAAAAAGAAAACAAATATTAAAAAATTGTGGTCATGGTAGTGAAAAATATCATAAACGGTCTCAATTTCTGAAGAATTTCATTTTTTGTAAATAACTTAAAATATAATTGGGATATATTTTTTTCTTTTTTCCCCGATTAGTCCGGGGCAGGTCAATCCTCCGGTGTTGGCTTATTGTTGAATTTTGGGACCTGTTGTATATAGGATAAACTCTCAAAGCTGGAGTATTAAGTACTTTGCTTATAATATGTACATACATCATGTTTTGTTTTGTCAGTCATGCTTTGTTTCAAAATTTATTTTATCCATTATCAGAGGACACACATTATTGAAGTCATATAATTGCATTTATATATAATTGATATGCTATAATATTTTACCAGAACAGCAAAATGTAATAAAATGATAATGGGATGTTTTTATCTATCATATTTTGGATATAGTTTATGTTGAGATAAACCCAACAGATAAGCCAGCATTCACTGCTTGGCTATTGTTTGAATGTACTCAATTGGTATCAATAGATTAGTTTTTAAGATAAAAGTGTATACTGACATGATATTTACTAGTAGCAGATTCTTTCTCACTAATCAGTCGGCTGAGCTGCTTTTTGGCCTTCATAATAGCTGGGAGATCCTGTTCACTGATTGCAGATAATGGTGCACAAACAAGCTGCTCCACTTTCAATTCATGCTCTGCTATTTCGTTGGCCAGAAATTTTTCCGTTTTGCCTGCAACAGATGTTTCAATATAATAATAGCACAAATAATATTTAAACATACATTTTAGACATGTATCATTCATTTGTTTCTAGTGACCTGATTATTTAAATATTGATTTGTCTTGCAAACCGGGTAAAACAGGTCCATCATTCAAAGAGATCTTTTTGAGGTTCAGTACTCTGTGATCCTTGAAACCTGTTCAGTAATGATGGTCATCGAACATTACTATAATCTTTTGTTGTAGGTCCTATCAAATGTTTGATCCGGAACATACAAAAATGTTATTACAAATATCAATACTTCAATGTGACCAGGGTCAAATGAATGAATCATTCACTACTGACAAATTATGTCTAGTACATTTAAAACATAAATGGCAAAAAAGAAATGCATTACATTACTTTTACACATTATTATAATTCTTTTATTCAACCATTTTAATTACTTTTAAATACATACATAGTTATTTTTCAGATCATTCACAAAGGTATTACAATGTGTACTTACCACATTCATACAGAATATACTTTAAGATGCTATCATCATCATCAAAATTACTTGCTTCACACATAGAAAGACCAAGCATATATTCAGGAAGTTTCTTAAGCCTTTTCTCACGTGCTGCAGGGTCTTGGCCCTGTGTGTTACCTGCACATGTTGCCAATCTTTTGCTTATTAAATGTAGTGCATTTCGAAGGTGTTCTACTTTTCTATCTGCTGTTTGGAGTTCATCAGTTAAAGCCTCACCTTTGCCAGACCTAATATAAATATTACATTAATTACACTGAACAATTATTAGTTGTCTATTATATTATTAAATGTAAGTTTATGATTAACACACAGATATTGATTATATAAAAAGTGCTTAAAAAGTAATGCATGTAAATTTAACTTCAAATTACTACATGTAGATGACTAGTAATCTTATCTGATGCTTGATACAAAAATGGTACCTCGAAAATGTTTGATCTGCAAGTTGCTTTACTCTGTAGAATTGTTTCTTCATTTTGAGTTCTTTCTAAAGTATTAGTGAAGCCACAAGGTCATTGGACTTGGTCAATAATAAAACGATCAAGAATCGCCGAAAAGAACGTCGCTAATGTCAGCACGTCAATGAGATCATCCTCATTTACTAATGTTAATACAAGCACTGAAAAACGTCCGACACAAAAACTATCCACTAGAGCACTACATTTCCATATTTCACTATGGCATGCAAACAAACTACACTGATTTTCTCTCCAAATTTTTTGTACAAGCTCCTAATGAACACAAAAATACGATGATCTAAGAAAATAAAATCTACACCACAGATCTATGTAAATCACAGATTATATAAATAAAAAAATCACTATGTTCACAGATAAGTAAGTATTATGTTCTTTCTTCTCTATGTATTATAGTCAAAGGTATTATGTCTATGAAAACATAGTGTTGCCTGGTATTTGAGTCCAGTGTCGGCGATTTTAACTGCTTTAATAGCCTCAAGGTAAATACATTGGCTAAAGCTAAAAAACAATACGAAAAAAGTTATAATTTGATCCAAAAATGGTCTAAATAAAAACAATTTAAAATAGTCAAAGAATTTAAACATCAAAGTGCACACAGTTATTTTGGCTCACTTTTATTAAATATGGTACAGTGGTTTATTTCTCCTGTATCATCACAATTTTTATTTATTTATGTATTTAACTTGCTCTTCCACCATTTAAAAAAACAAAACTAAACTTTCAATTGCTACAAGACTGCATGCCCGAAAGACATAGAAAGTAGAAAGACTAAACTTCAATGAACGGTTTGTTTGCTTGTTGTTGAATTATGGTTGTTATTCAAAAATGTCACATATAATTGAGAGTTTTAGAGTATCTTTAAATTAGTTACATATAACTACATAGACTACTTAAGAATTAACCAAGCTTCTTTTTTGGCTTCATTTACGCCTACACCTAAAAGAATTTCCGGGTAGCCAATGATCATCGTTAAAATGCTTAACATACATAAATGATGACCACTTTATAAGTTTTAGAAGATTATTTTCAAATTGTATAAACTTAAAATAGCTATTTTTATACAAAAAATATACACTTTCAACAAGAGTATGATGTTAAGAGGTTTGAAATCACATTTAGGGGAAAAGTTTCAAACTTGGCAACACTGGTATGAGCTGTCAAAAGATGTGATGTGTCACTGTCAGACCAAGACAATGTCAAATGTCAATTTTCATATTTATTTACATTACACTCTAACAATTATGTGTTGTAATTTTTATTTGTTTTGAATGTTATAGTCGTAAACGTAAACTATAAGTGAGTGGCGAATTCATTGTGGTGGTGGCAGCTTACTTGCAATAATCATTAAACAACGTACGCGTAAGAAAGAAAACTGAACTGTAAATGGAGTAGAAACTAGAAAATTTTACGGGCACTTGTGGAGGGAGATTATACACTTGAAGAATGGAAACGGAATATATTATTTAACAATATTACAAAAGCCAGTTACGCCTGAAAGGCTTTGGGTGACTGTAGTCTTTGCGAGTTCTGAGTGTCGCGTGTCATATTTTCAATTTTAATATTGTTGTTTTGATATATTGCGATAATTTTGAAAATGGAGCGAAGATTTTTTAATGTTATTTTATTGGGGTTTGGATTCATGTTCGTATTTACTGCGTTTCAGACCATGGGAAATATAGAGGTAAGTTTGTTTTTATAAAAATTGTAAATTTCTTGTAATTTTTATGTAATATTATGTTTACTTATTCCTTTATAAACAGAAAACTGCATGGTAAGTAAGTAGTTTCATATGATACTGAATATTATATAAAGTTAATAAGAACTTTCACAGCTCAACCTTCACATTATCTTGTAATGGTTAATTCCCTATTATAGATACATTTGTTGCTTTTATCTTCTATTTATTCTTAGGATTTTCTTAGCTGGTCCGTAGTTTTATAATTTTTAATAAATAATTATGTCATGATGGTGTGTGTGGTGTAAGATATTCACTATATTTTATGGTCCCATGGGTGCTGTTAGAAGTCACAGAAGGTTGCTGAACCAGAACTTGGGCAGCATCATCTTTCTGATAACAGCTTAATAAAAATAAAAAACTGCAGTTGCCAACCTGCTTGCCAGGTGTGGCAGCTGTATCAAATATCTCTCCTAGTCAGTCTACAAGGAGGCCTGCGTTCAGCCGTAGATTTTTGATTGTTAGATGAGCATATTTTAATTTAATATGTTGTCTTTGTATTTATCATTTATTTATTTACCAAAATCAAAATAAGTTTCCCTTATTATTGAAAAACTTGCTTGTGCTGATCTATTAAATTATATAGCAGGATATAGCACATGCATCTCATGCTCATAATATTGTTTATATAATTTGCAATAAAAAAGTGTGCCACCGACTTGTAAATTAAATTGTTGAATTGTTTGTGGATATTATTTATTTATAATTGCAAAAAGACATTACTGACATGCCTTGGTTTGTACATGCACTGTTATGAGTAAATGCAAAGCACCTTATGTAATATCAAATGAGAGTTTGAGATGATTGTCTCACATTCAAAAGGTTGCAGCATGTGCTTGTGTAATAATATTTTTATTACAGTGCTTTTAAAAGTACTCTGTTGATCTTTATACTAAATAGAAAAATATTTTTAGAAGAATACTTTCCCTTAGTTATTTTACTTGTATTTTAGTGTATGTTGCTTTACTAGTATCTCCAATAATACATAATACAGCAATATGCACATTGGAATATAAACTTTTGTGTTTTTCATATGGTTGAAGTTTGGTATAAATTGTGTAATTTTTATGCAAGAATTAAAATAGCCATATCTGCAACAGGAAACTTTAAGGTGTCTGGCCAATTATGTATATTAGGAGCAAATCCAACCCACCATGGGAGATCTGCTATTTGCAATACTTAGTAGTTTTTTGTTCTTTAAAACTCAAATACTTATAGAATTAGTGTTTGTTTGTCTGTTTCCCCAGACATTTTTCTTTTGACTTTTTCATACCTTTTTACAGCCAATTGAAAGCCAAGAAATTTGAAAAACGTAATTTTAGATTTTAGTGGGTAGTTTTGGTAGGTGAAAATGGGATGTTTTTTTTTAAATTTCGCTTTGGGTTTCATCTATAGGTAGTGTCCAACAGAAGGTCAACTTTAGTAGAACCCAAATGTTTAATTGTAACAATAAGAATTTAATGACTGAAAATTGATTTACCTTTATTTGCATTTTAATCACCTAGACGGGAAAGTATGTTTAGATTGTAGTAAAAAAAAATTCCACATCAATATCAACATGCATTATGAACACTAGGTATTTACAATAAATGTGAAATAAGTATAGCAAATGTGTTATATGAGTAATAGAACACAACAAAAAGTAGGACTTTAGGTAGACAAATTTAATTTTTATAATTTTAATTTGATAGCTGGTGCTTCTCATGTAGTCTCATATAAATTTGATCAGGATCTGATCAGTAGTTTTTATGTTATCCTTAATAATGTGTATTTAATTAAAATCATACTAAATTGATTTTATTTATATGGTAGTCGGTTGTACAAAATTTTTAATTTTACCATTTCTGTACTGCTAAATTGAATCTTAATTAGTGGTGGTGACGTAAAAAAAATCTATCACGCCATTTTGTCTCACGGGAAGCTTAAAAAAGGCTGGAAAAATTTAATGGTTCTATAAAATGGCAGTTATACCATATCTTATATACCCCAACAGACATCGGTTAGGCGTATCAGTGTGATCAGGTGTTACATATCTGGTATTACAATTGCCGAACCGCCTGCGAAATATGGTGATTATGGAAAATCTTTTTTTTTTGCAATGAATAGAAACATGCCAGCAGAGAAATGGAATATTAATGACACCAGTATTAAAAAAATACTTTTTAAATGTAATAATCATATTTGGATACATGATAATCGAATAGTTTACAACATAAGACAGTCGCAAGGAAAAAAAGCCGTGTAGTTGCGGTGTAAGAACATCCACTACCCTATATCGTCCTGTGCGTGTCGTAAGAGGCTGCAGAGGGAAATTGAAACAGGAGATGGGCAGCAGCATCTTCCTGATAACAACCCGAAATAATAAAGAACTGCGGTTGACAACCCGCTCACCACACGTGTCAACTATGGCAAAATCCCCTCTATGAGGCAGTCTATGGGGGAGGCCTACGTAGATGAACTTTTATACTGTAATTGAAGAAATGGGGTTAAAATATTAAAGTGTAAAGGTTTTTGGCCTTAATTATTGTGAGAATTATATCCACTACCTCATAACGTTCCGTGGATGCCATAAGAGGCGACAAAGGGAAGGAAATTATGAGATGGGCAGCAGGGTTGCCCTAATAACAAATAGATAATTAAAAACTGCGGTTACCAACCTGCGTGCCAATCATGGCAACTTTGACAGATATCTCCTCTATGAGGCAATCTATTGAGAGTTCTATGTTCGGCAGTGGACTTTGATGGGCTGTAATGATGATGATGACACGAGAAAACCGAGTTCAGCCACCGCAGCGCCGGCTCTACTGAAATTGATTATCGATGATTTAATCGGTTGCTCGAAACGTCGAAAGTGAACATTGCGAGGATGAACTTACATGTCTATGAAGTTAACAGTGATTCTAGGACGTGTGAAGTCAATACAATAGGCATTGGCCCAATGAGGGTTTTTGAGCAGGGTAGATTTGGTAAAAAACCCTCTTAGTAATAACTACTTGTCTTTATTTTACTTTGACACTAGTCGTGCACGGGCATGTCTTGCAGTGTCTTTTTTGTCAGAAACTCGCGGGCGCACGTATAACAACTCACCAAAGTTTTATTGTTATCTGATGAATTGTAACGCATATAAAAAGACCAAAAAAAAAACTTTTTTGTCAGAAACTTTCGCGGGTGCACACGCAACTATTACTTATTTTATAGGATAGGGTGGTGACAAACGAGCACACAGTCTATCTGATGGTATGTGGTTGCTGTGGCCCATAG